TTGGCCCTAAGATCATTTACCACTTTAACTAAGGCGGTCTCTGTACTGTGGTGGGCCCGAAAACCAGAATATATTTTTTTTAAATACATTTGGCACATTTCCCATCCGCCTTTCTCAAATTCTCTTCTAGTCCTCTCTTCACAACTACCATAGATAACAAGACACAAAAAACGTTCTTTCCACCCAAGTCTGTACAGGCACTATCTGTACCAGCCATTGATTTTGCATCTGTTACATCTTAATCCCAGTCTAAAGCTCAGTCATAGATCAGCTATGAGGAGAGGGCTTGGTAATTACCAACAGCAGCATTCATGTCATTATTATCATAATGGCTGTTTGGATGCGTCTCGTTCTTGCACTCAGCCCACCGAGCGTTATTTTGGCGGCGCAATTCATTTCCTCCCATTGAGCCTCACGCCTGTATATAATTATTCCACCCGCTTGCTCTTGATCACCATCGCAAAGGCGGGACAGAGGTGAGAATAGAGAGAGAGAGAGAGAGAGAGAGAGAGAGAGCGAGAGAGAGAGAGAGAGAGAGAGAGGGACAGAGAGAGGTAGAATAGAGAGAGAGGGGGGGGGGGGGTGTGGTAGACAGAGAGAAAGAGAGACAGTGTCTCTACCCCCCTCTCTATTCTAGCCTTCTCTCTGTCTTCTCTCTCTGCCTTCTGCCTTCCCTCTCTGTCTTCTCTCTCTGCCTTCTGCCTTCCCTCTCTGTCTTCTCTCTCTGCCTTCTCTCCCTGTCTTCTCTCTCTGCCTTCTCTCTGCCTTCTCTCTCTGTCTTCTCTCTCTGCCTTCTCTCTCTGTCTTCTCTCTCTGTCTTCTCTCTCTGTCTTCTCTCTCTGTCTGCTCTCTCTGCCTTCTGCCTTCTCTCTGTCTTCTCTCTCTGCCTTCTGCCTTCCATCTCTGTCTTCTCTCTCTGCCTTCTCTCCCTGTCTTCTCTCTCTGCCTTCTCTCTCTGCCTTCTCTCTCTGTCTTCTCTCTCTGCCTTCTCTCTCTGCCTTCTCTCTCTGTCTTCTCTCTCTGTCTTCTCTCTCTGCCTTCTGCCTTCTCTCTGTCTTCTCTCTCTGCCTTCTCTCTGTCTTCTCTCTCTGCCTTCACTCTGCCTTCACTCTCTGCCTTATGTCTTCTCTCTCTGCCTTCTCTCAAGAGATGCTTCATCATGTTCTGTTTGTAGAGATGAATTAATGCGTACCTGCATGTGCATTTCATTGAAGGAGAGTGTTTCTTAGAATTCCGTCATGAGAGAAAAGTGTTTCCTTTAATGTGATAAACAGCAGTTCAGGAGAGTCAGACATGTCAAAGGGGATACCAAACACTCTATGACTGAGTCCAAAATGGCACCCTATTCCCTATGTACTGTAGTGCACTGCTTTTGACCATGGCTCATGGGGCTGAACGGATGACTGATGATCAAAATCAAATCATATTTTAAAGGTTGCGTTAACATATTTTGTATATGTTTTCGCAGGTGCAGCAAAATGCTTATGTTTCTAGCTCCAACAGTGCAGTAATACCTAACAATACACACAAATCCCAAACATTTTAATAAAGGAATTAAGAAATATCAGAACGAGCAATGTCAGAGTCCGGAATATAAATAAATATACAGTTGAAGTCGGAAGTTTACATACACCTTAGCCAAATACATTTAAACTCAGTTTTTCACAATTACTGACATTTAAACCTAGTAAAAATTCCCTGTCTTAGGTCAGTTAGGATCACCACTTTATTTTAAGAATATGAAATGTCAGAATAATAGTAGAGAGAATGATTTATTTAAGCTTTTATTTCTTTCATCACATTCCCAGTGGGTCAGAAGTTTACATACACTCAATTAGTATTTGGTAGCATTGCCTTTAAATTGTTTAACTTGGGTCAAACGTTTCGGGTAGCCTTCCACAAGCTTCCCACAATAAGTTGGGTACATTTTGGCCCATTCCTCCTGACAGAGCTGGTGTAACTGAGTCAGGTTTGTAGGCCTCCTTGCTCACACATACTTATTCAGTTCTGCCCACACATTTTCTATAGGATTGAGGTCAGGGCTTTGTGATGGCCACTCCAATACCTTGACTTTGTTGTCCTTAAGCCATTTTGCCACAACTTTGGAAGTATGCTTGGGGTCATTGTCCATTTGGAAGACCCATTTGCGACCAAGCTTTAACTTCCTGACTGATGTTTTGAGACGTTGCTTCAATATATCCACATAATTTTCCTTCCTCATGATGCCATCTATTTTGTGAAGTGCACTAGTCCCTCCTGCAGCAAAGCACCCCCAGAGCATGATGCTGCCACCCCTGTGCTTCACGGTTGGGATGGTTTTCTTCGGTTTGCAATCAACCCCCTTTTTCCTCCAAACATAATGACGGTCATTATGGCCAAACAGTTCTACTTTTGTTTCATCAGACCAGAGGACATTTCTCCAAAAAGTACGATCTTTGTCCCCATGTGCAGTTGCAAACCATAGTCTGGCTTTTTTATGGCGGTTTTGGAGCAGTGGCTTCTTCCTTGCTGAGCGGCCTTTCAGGTTATGTCGATATAGGACTCGTTTTACTGTGGATATAGATACTTTTGTACCTGTTTCCCCCAGCATCTTCACAAGGTCCTTTGCAGTTGTTCTGGGATTGATTTGCACTTTTCGCACCAAAGTACGTTCATCTCTAGGAGACAGAACGCGTCTCCTTCCTGAGCGGTATGACGGCTGTGTGTTCCCATGGTGCTTATACTTGCGTACTATTGTTTGTACAGATGAACGTGGTACCTTCAGGTGTTTGGAAATTGCTCCCAAGGATGAACCAGACTTGTGGAGGTCTACAATTGTTTTTCTGAGGTCTTGGCTGATTTCTTTTGATTTTCCCATGATGTCAAGCAAAGAGGCACTGAGTTTGAAGGTAGGCCTTGAAATACATCCACAGGTACACCTCCAATTGACTCAAATGATGTCAATTAGCCTATCAGAAGCTTCTATAGCCATGACATAATTTTCTGGAATTTTCCAAGCTGTTTAAAGGCACAGTCAACCACTGAAATTGTGATACAGTGAATTATAAGTGAAATAATCTGTCTGTAAACAATTGTTGGAAAAATTACTTGTGTCATGCATAAAGTAGATGTCCTAACCGACTTGCCAAAACTATAGTTTGTTAACAAGACATTTGTGGAGTGGTTGAAAAACGAGTATTAATGACTCCAACCTAAGTGTATGTAAACTTCCGACTTCAACTGCATGTATATGATGGTGTGTATAGACAGTATGGACAGTATATGAATAGAAAAGGTGTCTACAGTATTAGTTATATAGGATGAGCCTTGACTAGAATACAGTATATACATATAAAGTGGGTAAAACAGTATGTAAACATTCTTAAAGTGACCAGTGTTCAATGACTATGTTCATATGGCAGCAGTCTCTAAGGTACAGGGTAGTACTGGGTAATGACTGACGATTAAAGCCAACAGATCAAGAATAGGATAGGCATTGGCAGTTAACCATTTCAGAAATGCATCTGTGAAATTACATTTCCCTTTTGAGTGAATGCAAAGTGCATAGGCTTCATATTAACTCAAAGCACACAGCAGCACATGCTACTGGTGGTGGTGCTATCAAACCCAAACCTGGAAGTGAGGCAGCAGCAATCTCTGGCCTGCCTCCAAGCATCTGCTGCAATTTGCCATGTGTGCCAACCACAAACAAAAGGTCGCTTTGCAGACCCAGGGTGCATCCCAAATGCCACCCAATTTCCTTTATAGTGCACTACCTTTGATCAGAGCCAATAGGGTTAAAGTGCCATTTTGGACGCAACCATACTTTTCATGGGAGATGGTTGCATGCATCACATGTTTACAGGCAGAATACAGATGACATTAGAGCAAATAAATCAAATTCAAAACAGCTTTATTGACAATGACAGTAGTGTTTATACAAGGCCAGAGCTAAGAAGAATCTCAAATAAATCAGATATGAAAAAAGATCCTAGCTAAACATGGATTGATATCATTTGGACTCAGGGGCGGACAGGCCATCTGGCTATTCGGGCAAATGCCAGATGGGCTGGTAAATTTTTAGCCCAGTGGGCCTGTGTAACTCTTTTTTTTTGTTGTTGCACAAAATGATAATTATCTGGCGAACAATAGGAGCCTCAAGAAAAACAAATGGGCCGGTTTGGGGGCTTCAACAACAAAAAATGGGCAGGTGTGTTAGAAATGCCAGGGCCAATTTCTGGTCCCAGTCCGCCCCAGTTTGGACTGGATTTGTTTTATCCCTTACAATGTTGGTTTTGTACCAAAAATGCTAATATAATAAAAACGTGGTAAATTGTTTTTGAAGAGACTGAAAACCCCTGATGAGACCCTAAAAGAGCTGTAAACAGTTTTCTTTTTTAAACTTCATTATAATACAAAACACACATGCATCCCACGTTGTTCCTGAATAGGCAGTTCATAGCATACATACCGGTACAAATGGAATCGAAGAGTTCATACTAAAAAAAGAAACATTAGGCTACACATCCTTCACAGACATTGCACGCAACGCAAGACAAGACTGACTATTCTTATTCCTCTTCTCTGACTAGAATGATCATCTCAAACTAATAATTTCATAAAGTCTGTATAGTAAATATACATGATGTAAATCTTCTTCTGACTACTGGGCCATTTGAATACAGCCTGAGGTATGCTTTTAACTTAAGCATTTGAGACGAAGCTCAAAATCAAAACCCCAAAAAATACCTGGAACAAAATGATAGGAAATATTTAAATAATGCCGAGACCGCAGCTCCATTTGAAAGTTTCATTAAAAAAACATAACAAAAAAACAACACACTTAAAGGAGTGTCTAAAAGCCACTGCAGCATCTTGTTCTTTGAAAGATTTGGATTTCAAAATAAAAAAAATTATAAAGACAGGATAACGATTGCTCCAATAATGCCTTGCCAAAGTGCCATACCTCTGGTCGCGTTCCAGACCAACTACCTGCATCGCATCAACCAATGGTTGTGTGCCACATCATCGACTGAGCAGTCGGGCATCAGATTGCTATATCATATGCTGTGGTTAGCTGATATGTTAAACACCTATCCAGGAATTGAGATCTGGCATGCATCTGAAATGTAGTCAGCTAGGAACGTGGCCATTATAACCTGTAATCCTGTCAGTTAATAACCATTGATTGGTTTGACCACCAAATAGTACAACAGGTCTAACCTGTCCTTCAACAAACACAGTGACCAAAACAACAACAAAACAAAACAACAGGAAATTCACTAATCAATATTCCCTTCTTTTCTGCTTATTCTGCTTACGCCCAATGTCTACCTCGTCCAGTCTAAGCCCAGATAGCTGGAGGTCTTGGAGGGATTGGGCCAGGGGCTTGTGGACTTGGACAGGCAGGGGCCGCTGGACCCGGATGGGGATGGGCTTTAGGTCAGGGTCAGACAAGATGGGGTCTAAGGCTGGCAGGGGGAGGTAGCCTCCGTCTCTGGGTAGACACAGGCAGCAGCCAGCACCAGCCAGGTCCAGCTCGCTGTACTCGAAGCCAGCCCTCTTGAGGATCTTGAAGTCCACCATGTCCATGGACTCACTCATCTCCACTAGCAGGTTCCAGAACATACAGCTCAGCATGATGCCCATCAGCTGGAGAGACACACAGGGAACAGAGTAGAAAGGCCAGTTGCATTTAGACTCTGACACTGGGACTATTACACACAGACCATCAGCTGGAGAGAGAGACAGGGAACATAGAGGACCACAGAGACCAGTTAGGGTTAGACTCTGATACCCTAGTCCCTATATATTCCACTACTTTTGACCTGGGCACATAGGGACTGGTACCCACAGCCAGGGGGATATACTACAGCTGGAGATACAAGGACCATGTACAAGGACCATGTACCTATGTATTTAAATATAATGCACTGTCATGTGTGTGTTTAATGTGCTTGTATGTACCTGACACCACAACAGTTGCAGAGGCACACAAATATCCAACTTTTGAATGAAGTAATATCTTACTTTGGTCCCAAGGTGAGCTATGCCTGGGCAAGCCAACTTGAGTGTGCTGCTGTCCACTCCCCAGTGCTTTCAAAATGGACTAGTTCACCTGAGCTGGCCTGATAAGAACCCCCAGTTTCCTTTTCAATTTGAGAAAGTTTTCTGCAGCCAGTTTGTGGTCTACTGAACCCTGGATTACTGGACTGTCTGTCTGTCTGCTACTGGACTGTCTGTATGTCTGCTACTGGACTGGACTGTCTATCTGCTACTGGACTGTCTGCCTGCTACTGGACTGGACTGTCTATCTGCTACTGGACTGTCTGCCTGCTACTGGACTGTCTGTCTGCTACTGGACTGTCTGCCTGCTACTGGACTGGACTGCCTGCTACTGGACTGTCTGTCTGCTACTGGACTGGACTGTCTATCTGCTACTGGACTGTCTGCCTGCTACTGGACTGTCTGTCTGCTACTGGACTGTCTGCCTGCTACTGGACTGGACTGCCTGCTACTGGACTGTCTGTCTGCTACTGGACTGGACTGCCTGCTACTGGACTGTCTGTCTGCTACTGGACTGGACTGGCTGCTACTGGACTGGACTGTCTGTCTTCTACTGGACTGGACTGTCTGTCTGCTACTGGACTGTCTGACTGCTACTGGACTGGACTGTCTGTCTGCTACTGGACTGGACTGTCTGTCTTCTACTGGACTGGACTGTCTGTCTGCTACTGGACTGTATTTTCTGCTACTGGACTGGACTATCTGCTACTGGACTGGACTGTCTGTCTGCTACTGGACTGTCTTGCTTCTACTGGACTGTCTTTCTGCTACTGGACTGGACTGTCTGTCTGTCTTCTACTGGACTGGACTGGACTGTCTGCTACTGGACTGGACTGTCTGTCTGCTACTGGACTGGATTTTCTTCTACTGGACTGGACTGGACTGTCTGCTACTGGACGGTCTGTCTGCTACTGGACTGTCTGCTACTGGACTGGACTGTCTGCTACTGGACTGGACTGTCTTCTACTGGACGGTCTGTCTGCTACTGGACTATCTGCTACTGGACTGGACTAATGCTAATGGACTGGACTGTCTGTCCCCTACTGGATTGGACTGTCTGTCTGCTACTGGATTGGACTGTCTGTCTGCTACTGGACTGGACTGTCTTCTACTGGACGGTCTGTCTGCTACTGGACTATCTGCTACTGGACTGGACTATTGCTAATGGACTGGACTGCCAACTCATACTGGATTGGACTGTCTGTCTGCTACTGGACTGGACTGTCTGTCTTCTACTGGACTGGACTGTCTGTCTGCTACTGGACTGGACTGTCTGTCTTCTACTGGACTGGACTGTCTGTCTTCTACTGGACTGGACTGTCTGTCTGCTACTGGACTGTATTTTCTGCTACTGGACTGGACTATCTGCTACTGGACTGGACTGTCTGTCTGCTACTGGACTGTCTTGCTTCTACTGGACTGTCTTTCTGCTACTGGACTGGACTGTCTGTCTGTCTTCTACTGGACTGGACTGGACTGTCTGCTACTGGACTGGACTGTCTGTCTGCTACTGGACTGGATTTTCTTCTACTGGACTGGACTGGACTGTCTGCTACTGGACGGTCTGTCTGCTACTGGACTGTCTGCTACTGGACTGGACTGTCTTCTACTGGACGGTCTGTCTGCTACTGGACTATCTGCTACTGGACTGGACTATTGCTAATGGACTGGACTGTCTGTCCCCTACTGGATTGGACTGTCTGTCTGCTACTGGATTGGACTGTCTGTCTGCTACTGGACTGGACTGTCTTCTACTGGACGGTCTGTCTGCTACTGGACTATCTGCTACTGGACTGGACTATTGCTAATGGACTGGACTGCCAACTCATACTGGATTGGACTGTCTGTCTGCTACTGGACTGGACTGTCTGTCTTCTACTGGACTGGACTGTCTGTCTGCTACTGGACTGGACTGTCTGTCTGCTACTGGATTGGACTGTCTGTCTTCTACTGGATTGGACTGTCTGTCTGCTACTGGATTGGACTGACTGTCTGCTACTGGATTGGACTGTCTGTCTGCTACTGGACTGGACTGTCTGTCTGCTACTGGACTGGACTGTCTGTCTGCTACTGGATTGGACTGTCTGTCTGCTACTGGATTGGACTGACTGTGTGCTACTGGATTGGACTGTCTGTCTGCTACTGGATTGGACTGTCTGTCTGCTACTGGACTCATTATCTAATAGTGCAGCTGCTGCAGTATGTGGTGTTATTACACGTCTCCAGGGGGGCTTGCATAGAAGTCTGGCTGCAAAACCTTCACAGCACAGGAGAGGGGTGAGGCCGGGGTAGGAAATGGAATAGAGAGAGTGGATGAAAGAGAAAGAGGAAGATAGGATGGGGGGACAAAATAAGTTAGAGACAGACAGACAAAAGCTGTAAACTAGACAAAAACACTATCAGAGTGAATGGATCATAAAAGTAAACAACAAACCCTGATCCATTGGAAATGACTTTATAACACAATGAAAATTATCCAGCTGCTTGTTGGTTATGAAAGCATTACAGAGGTATGATGAAGTGTAAGCTGCTCCCTGCTCTGTAGGCCGTGTTGCCAACAGAGCAGGGAGAGGGGTGCTATTTCCTATGGGCCCTAGTCAAGAGTAGTGCACTATATAGGGGACAGGGTGCCATTTGGAACATATCCATTGCTGAGGTCTGGGTGAGCGGAAGACAAAATACTAATGAAGTGGTGGACAGACAGACAGAGACAGACTGGCTCAGAGGCAATCAACATGGAAATGAAGCTGTGAGAAACCTCTCAGGGATGGGGAGACTGAGGGACTAGACACACACACACACTCTCACACACACACACACACACACCTGGGTCAGGTAAGGTGGTTGTCTGATTGGAGACAGTTGCGCAAGCGTGTGTGTTGGGTGTTCGTCTGTGTCTGTGACTGACCTGTGGCAGCCCTATAGCACAGCAGAGCCCAATAGTTGCTCCCACGTTGTCTCCCATCCACAGGTTGACAGCATGGATACAGCCCCGCACATGGATCACCTCATCCAGGAGCTCACGCTGACAGAGAAAGAGAGGGAGTAGAAGAGAGAGAGAGACTACATGAGATGCATTTGATTGATCGTAGTTACGTTTGAAATACATGTCATCAAGGCAAAACAAAGACAGTCATTTCACAGATGATGAGGCAATACAATGGTAACATGAACAATAGAAAAACAGTGCTTTGTTTTTTGGGGGGGGGGGGGGGGAATCTATTACGACAAACTAATAGTGTGCCTTGAAAGCTAATGAACTATTCCCCACAAACACCTGGGATACTATTATTTTTACTGTTATTTTACTGCTTTTATTTTTTACTTATCTATTGTATACTTAACACGTATTTTTCTAAGTAAGTATGTCACTGTAAGGTCTACACCTGTTGTATTCGGCGCATGTGACAAATACAATTTGATTTGATTTGATGTTCCACCATACCAAAGAAATTATGGAGGGGAAGAACAGCTCAAGGACAGATAACAGAGACAGCTGAATCAATATCACAACAACACCAGCCACTACCAGCTGGCACAATACAGCATGACTCAATTAGGCTACCTTATTTTCAGCATGCTGCAGCTAGAGAAAAAACGAATATTTTGGGGCCATGAAAGTAAATGATCCTGCTGCTCTTTTCCCTGTTGCAGTCTCTGAATGCGCCCCTATGCAGGCCCTGGTCTAAAGTAGTGTGTCGGGAATAGGTTGCCATTTGGGACGTAGCTTCTGTCTCTGCAGAATGACAAGCTCCACAGACTAATGAAGGCCAACAAGTGAGCAGCACATGGAAGTGGAGGGGGGAAAGTTCACAGCCTATTAGGATATACAACTTATTTTACCCTTACCTGTTGGCTGAGAGTCTTGTAACCACAAAGAGTGTTGACAACCTCTCCCACCTGGGACAAACGAGACAGAAAGAGAAGAAGATTATGAAGAAGAGGAGTAACTTATTGTCCATTCTTCTGAAGTCATATATGCTTGTAGTGGCCAAGTTAAAAATACATTTACGCACGTTGGACACACACACACACACACACACACACACAAAGAGCTGGACATCCCCTAATCCCTGTTTATAGCTGTTTGGTGCTTTGGAGTTGCCAGATAGAGGAAGAGAGGAGAGCAAGAGAGAGAGAGAGAGGAATAGCGAAGGAGAGGGAGAGAGAGAGAGAGAGAGAGAGAGAGAGAGAGAGAGAGACAGAGACAGAGGAATAGAGAGAGAGAAATAAAGAGAGGAGAGCAGCTAGCTACAAGAGGAACTAAAGAGAGAGAGAGATAGGGAGGAGGAGAAGAAAAGGGGAAAAGAGAGAAAACCTTTTCTTTTCCCCCCCCCTCCCCCCTTTTTTTTTTTTTTTTCCCCCCCCCTTTTTTTTTTTTTTTTTTTTTTTTTTTCCCCCCCCCCCCCTTTTTTTTTTTTTTCCCCCCCCCCCCTTTTTTTGTTTTTTTTTTTTTCCCCCTTTTTTTTTTTTTTTTTTTTTTTTTTTTTTTTCCCCCTTTTTTTTTCCCCCTTGTTTTTTTTTTTCCCCCCCCCCTTTTTTTTTCTTTTTCCCTTTTTTTTCCCCCTTTTTTTTTTTTTTTTTCCCCCCCCCCCCCCCCCTTTTTTTTTTTTTTTTTCTTCCCCCCCCGGGGTTTTTTTTCCCCCGGGGGGTTTTCCCCCCTTTTTTTTTTTTTTTGTTTTTTTTTTTTTTTTTTTTTTCCCCTTTTTTTTTTTCCCTCCCCTTTTTCCCCCTTCTTTTCCCTCCTTTTTTTTTTCCCTCTCCCTTTTTTTCTCCCTCCCGGGGAAAAAAAAAAAAGAAAAACTATTTTGCCCAAAACCCCAAATGGGGAAAAAGGGGCCCCCTTTTTTTGTTCCCTTTTTCCCGGGGCCCCCCCCCCTTTAATTTTTTTTTTTAACCTTTGGGGGGTTTTGTCCCCTCCCTTTCCTTTCTGGGGGCCAAACAACCCCCCATTTTTTACAAAAAGGCCCCCAAAAAGGCCCCGGGGGGGGGGGTAAAAACCCCCAAACATTCCCGGGGAAAGGGGAAAGGGGGGCCCCCAAAAATTTTTTATAAAAAAGGGCCCCGCCCCCCCCAAAAAAGTTTTTTGGGGGGGGAACAAATGAAAAAAAGAAAAAAATTTCCCTTTTTAAAAAAAATTAACCCCAATGGGGGTTTAAAAGGGGGTTTTGTTCAAAGCCCTTTTTTTCCCCAAACCCCAAAGGTTTTTGGGGGGAAAAAGGAAAATTTTTTTTTTGGGGAAAAAATTATTTAAAACTTTTAAAACCCCCCTTTTTTTTTTAAAAAAATTTTTCAGGGATTTAATTAGTCCCACTCTCTCCATTGTCAATAGGTCTCGGGTTCTTCTTTCCTGGTGGCTCTACACATTTCACTGTAACCAATTCAGCTAGCGTTAATTGCCTAGTAATGCACCAGGAGAAGTATAGGCAGGTGGAGAGGGGCTATACTGATAGCAGAACATGGATCCTTCCAGTCACTGCGTTCACACAGCCAGCCCCATTCTGATATTTTTTCCACTAAGAAAAGTGGTCCCTTGTTGCCATACAGTTCTGTGTGTGCGTGTGGAGCACTAAATGAGATCCACAGAAACATGTCTCCTCCAAAGATGTGAGAGGCTGATGGGGAGGGCAGGTATGATATTGGCTAAGGTTCATGTGTTATCGGATCCTAACTCTCAGAGCTCCTTTCATTCACACACACGCACACACAGTCTAGATAACAGGTGAAAAGCAGAGGAGTGGAGAACAGTTTTAGCATTCACCTTGTGGGGGACACAGCATGTATAAGGCACGCCACAGGCCAGTGGCCCGGTGCCATTGCAGAAATGGTATTGATTGACACCCCAGTCCTTGTAGTCGTCCCCACCACAACAAGAGAACTGGAGAGAGAGAGAGAGGCAGGTTTAATAATAAAAGGGTTAAGTCTATTATTTTTTACTAGATCAATCATACTCTATCCATCTCAGTTAGGGTTGCAAAGCTACCGGTAATTTACCAAAGTTATTGGAATCTTCAGTAATTTTGGCAATTAAAGATGCACTATGCAGAAATGGCTCTGCCATTTCCTGTTTGCAAAAATGTGAATAGTTCGCCTAATTTCAGTTTATGTGACAAAACAAGCAAATATAGGGTTGAGAATCATTGTACCATCTAAATCACTATGAAATATATTTTCAATAACCAAAAATATTGTATTTTCAGCTGGGGTACAAAACCGAAAGTAAAAGACGCAAAAAACTAAACTTACGAACGGGAAGCATAGAAATATCGCACATAGAACAGATCTACCACTTCTTATACTTTCTTTCAATGAGAATGACAGATCTATAACACACATTTCTATTTGAATTTAGTCGGGTTGCCCAAAATGTTACATATTGCAGAAAATCTATGGTAATCTATCGTAACGTTGGTAATTTATATTTAAATAACTTTTTTTTTTAAGTATTCATATACAGTGCCTTCAGAAAGTATTCATACCCTTCCACATTTTGTGAATTCAAAATTGATTAAATAGATTTTATTTTCTAACCCATCTAACCACAATACACCATCATGACAAAGTGAAAACATGTTTTTAGAAATGTTTATTGAAAATGAAACACAGAACTATCAGAAATTATATTAAACATGTGATGTGATAAGGCCAGAGAGAGGCCAGAGATAATTACAGACACCTGTGATAATCTGAAGTACCCAAAAGGGCCACTAGATGTCTTGTGATAGGTTACATTAAATCCTTGAAAGATACCACAATTCTGGTAGTTTACTGGTAAACATATACATTTTACAGTAATACAGTGGCTTCGGAAAGTATTCAGACCCCTTGACTTTTTCCACATTTTGTTACATTACAGCCTTATTCTAATATGGATTAAATAAATACAAATCCTCTGCAATATACACACAATACCCCATAATGACAAAGCGAAAACAGATTTTTAGAAATTTTGTAAAAGTATTACAAATAAAAAACATAAATACCTTATTTACATAAGTATTCTGACCCTTTTACACACAAAATTGAGATCAGGTGCATCCTGTTTCCATTGATCATCCTTGAGATGTTTCTACAACTTGATTGGAGTCCACCTGTGGTAAATTCAATTGATTGGACATGATTTGGAAAGGCACACACCTGTCTATATAAGGTCCCACAGTTGACTGCATGTCAGAGCAAAAACCAAGCCATGTGGTCGAAGGAGTTGTCTGTAGAGCTCTAAGACAGGATTGTGTCGAGGCACAGATCTGGGGAAGGGTACCAAAAAATGTCTACAGCATTGAAGGTCCCCAAGAACACAGTGGCCTCCATCATTCTTAAATGGAAGAAGTTTGGAACCACCAAGCCTCTTCCTAGAGCTGGCCGCCCTGCCAAACTGAGCAATCGGGGGAGAAGGGCCTTGGTCAGGGAGGATACCAAGAACCCAATGGTCACTCTGACAGAGCTCTAGAGTTCCTCTGTGGAGATGGGAGAACCTTCCAGAAGGACAACCATCTCTGCAGCACTCCACCAATCAGGCCTTTATGGTAGAGTGGCTAGACGGAACCCACTCCTCAGTAAAAGGCACAAGACAGCCCGCTTGGAGTTTGCCAAAAGGCACCTAAAGACTCTCAGACCATGAGAAACAAGATTCTCTGGTCTGATGAAACCAAGATTGAACTCTTTGGCCTGAATGCCAAGTGTCACGTCTGGAGGAAACCTGGCAGCATCCCTACGGTGAAGCATGGTGGTGGCAGCATCATGCTGTGGGGATGTTTTTCAGCGGCAGGGACTGGGAGACTAGTCAGGATCGAGGCAAAGATGAACGGAGCAAAGTACAGAGAGATTCTTGATGAAAACCTGCTCCAGAGCGCTCAGGACCTCAGACTGGGGCGAAGGTTCACCTTCCAACAGGACAACGACCCTAAGCACACAGCCAAGACAACGCAGGAGTGGCTTCGGGACAAGTCTCTGAATGTCCTTGAGTGGCCCAGCCAGAGCCCGGACTTGAACCCAATCGAACATCTCTGGAGAGACCTGAAAATAGCTGTGCAGCGACTCTCCCCATCCAACCTGACAGAGCCTGAGAGGATCTGCAGAGAAGAATGGGAGAAACTCCTCAAATACAGGTGTGCCAAGCTTGTAGCATCATACCCAAGAAGACTTGAGGCTGTAATCGCTGCCAAAGGTATTTACGTTTTTTATTTTTAATACATTTGCAAAAATGTCTAAAAACCTGGTTTTGCTTTGTCATTATGGGGTATTGTGTGTAGATTGATGAGGGAATATAAAAAATGAAATAAAAAAAACTTTTTAGAATAAGGCTGTAACCTAACATAATGTGGAAAGAGTCAACGGGTCGGAATATTTCAGAAGGCACTGTATACCCTCTCTTTGCAACCCTACCCACAGATGTCAATTCAACATCTATTCCATGTTGGTTCAATGTAATTTAATTGAAAGGACGTGGAAACAACATTGATTCAACCAGTGTGTGCCCAGTGGGTAATCTCAGTGTTCTCTTCATTCTGTACATTTTCCATTTTAGTCATTTAGCAGAAGCTCTTATCCAGAGCGACTTCGTTCATTTTCATACTGGTCCCCTGTGGGAATCGAACCCACAACCCTGGCGTTGCAAGCACCATGCTCTACCAAGTGAGCCACACGGGACTACACACACATCACATGCCACTATTTCCTGTCTGTTGCTTCTGATAATGAAAATGGTGTCCTCTTACCTTCTGTTGCACAAAGTCCAAGATGTTTTTGAAGTCCAGATCATCGTAATAGTGTTTAATTCCCTCTCGTATACTGCTCTGGAACAGGGCTGATGTCTACAGGGAGAGAGAGGAAGAGTAGAGAGAGAGAGGGGGATGATGAAAAAAATGAATCATCCATCACATTGAATGCTGCTGTGATGTGATCTTATCGTTGCTGGAGGCAATGCCAGAGGCGACACCGGTGTACCATGTGAACATGTGTTACAGCCGTGTGTGTGTGTGTGTGTGTGTGTGTGAGTGTGTGTGTGAGTGTGTGAGAGAGAGAGATAACTTACCTTTTTCTCAAAGATGAGTGCAACGATGAGAGCCACAGCCTGCAGGAACAGTAGCACACACAGGACACACAAAAACTGGAAGACAGACAGACAGGAGAAAGAGAGAGAGAGAATGCACTGACATGTACACATCAAGCCAGAGGGACCAGAGTTTAGCTGCTATCTGTATATCCCAGATGAGAGGGAGAGATAATTGATTGACAAACAAACTGCTCTGCAGACAGCTTGCTGGGCTGAGATAGGCAACCCCATCCACAGGCTGACTGACATAGCCCAGTCAGCAGAGTCCCCTTCTCCTCTCCTGTCCCCCTCCTCCCACTCTCTTCAACCCAATCTCTCAACCCTCCTATTCTTTCTTTCCTTCCTCCCTCCTCTTCTCCATCCAAACCTCCCTCTCTCCTCATATCCCCCCTCCTCTCCCCCTCCCTCTCGCTCTTCCATTCCTCTCCTCTCTCACCATGTGTAGCAGGGTCTTGTTGTCCCTGAGGGAGCCCACCATGCCCACCAGGGAGACAGTGAACATCACCAGGCCCAGCAGGATGAGCACCACAGCGGGGGCCAGGAACACCCCCTCCAGGGTACGGTTCTTCTGACGCTCCACCTCCGCGTACACCCCCACGCACAACACACACAGGCCCAGAAGCTGGGGGAGGGAGAGGGAGGGAGAGGAAGAGGGGGAGGCAGGGAGAGAGGGGGGGGGGAGGGAGGCAGGGAAAGGGGGAGAGAGAGGGGGAGGCAGGGAGAGAGGGAGGCAGGGAAAGAGGGAAAGAGGGGGGGCAGGGAGAGAGAGAGGGGGAGGCAGGGAGAGGGGGAAGAAGAGAGGGTAGGGGTTAGGGTGAGACGGTCAGAGCGCTGCAGAGTGCCATCTTTCTGAATAAGCATCCTTGCAGATAACAGGATTTTATGATAGCAGTGTGCATAGAAAGCCTAACCAAGCGAGCAACGTTCAAAGCTATCGGCATGTTCAAAGCTACTGTTTCCCTTGGATTATGTTGTAAACCCATTGCTGATGTCAAATAACATGGACATCTTCAAAATAGCACGGATAAGTCCCAAATGGTACCCTATTACATATAGTATGAAAAAAATGTATGCACTCACTAACTGTAAGTCGCTCTGGATAAGAGCGTCTGCTAAATGACTAAAATGTAAATTTAATGTAGTGCACTACTTTTGACCAGAGCCCTGGCCAAAAGTAGTACACTATATAGGGAATAGGGTACCATTTGGGATGCATCCCATGTCTTCTTCTCTAGTGGTAGCATCATGATGATGCGACCCATTTTCCTTGTTCCTTGTAGTCAATTAGGAAACACAAAGGGCTTTAGTGTTAGTGCTCCTGCTCACACCCTGGCTGCTTAGTGTTAGTGCTCCTGCTCACACCCTGGCTGCTTAGTGTTAGTGCTCCTGCTCACACCCTGGCTGCTTAGTGTTAGTGCTCCTGCTCACACCCTGGCTGCTTAGTGTTAGTGCTCCTGCTCACACCCTGGCTGCTGCCCAAAGTAAAGTTAGCAAATGATGACAGGAGATGGTGGTTCTAGAACTAGTCCTAGGCTAGCTGCTGTGTTGTTGTGTTATCAGCCTTGTTAGCATCAAACAAACCCCACTTGACTATCTCCTGGTGTGCCATTTGAGAGCTTTCAAAACCATGGCAGGGTGGGTCTCACGTTGTCTGCATCCCAAATGGCACCCTTTTCACTTTATAGTGAATTAAAGGGACTATTAAGGCACTAGCCTATATAGGGAATAGGGTGCCATTTGGAATGCAGACTTTGACTCATAATGATAGTCCTTTCTTTCTGCAACTCTCGCAGAAAGCAGAGAAAAACAAACAACAATCTCCACCCCATAGGCCTACCTATCGATTCTCAATTAGGAAGAGAGGCAATCTGCACTAAGAGAGCAAGCCTCATCACTCTTTCCCTACTTTAGTCTATTCACTATTGACAGCACCACCACCACCACCCCGCCCAACATCAGAAAATGTATTAAGTCCCTACCCACTGGGCAAAACATTACGTTGAATTAATGTGTAATACTGATTGGATTTGCAAAAGGTCATCAACGTAAGGGACTTTTAGATTTTTTTCCTAAATCCAATGACAGGGTAAAATTGTAGGTTGATTTCACACTGAATTCATGTTAGTTGACAACACAACCAAATGTAAATCAAAACTAGATGTTAAAATGACGTCTGTGTCCAGTGGATATTTTCAAAAGATGTAGGCCTACTTTAAGTCTCTTACAGCGGTTAGCTCATTTCTCATTCACTCTGTCACCCACATTAGTGTAGCCTAAGTGGACTGAGCAGTAGGCTGGACACACTGAGCGTAAGAGACAAACACATCATCTGACAAATGACCAAACTTCAGACCGATAAGAAGCAATGCAAATATACTACACAGTACACACACTCTCTCAAAGGATTAGTCGACTGACTCTCTCCTTCCCAAAGGAAACCTACAGGCACACATGACGGATTCTCGCAAACCTGTGTGAAACTACATTAAGCAGATTGAACAGACAAGGAGAAGAAATAGCATTCATTAACAGTGAGTGCTCCTGCATGGCTGGCTGTGGGCCAGGGGAGCTCTTGGGGGAACAGAAGCCAAGGCATTCCATCTTAACACGGAAAAAGGATGAACACAAGCAGTGAGAAAGACTGGAGAGAAGGAGAGAAAATTACAATCTAAGCGAGGGAAGTCACTGACATTTTCTTGTAGTTCATACTCAGCAGCAGTATGGCTGATGTAGAGAGAGGGAGGGAGAGAGAGACAGACAGAGAGACAGACAGAGCTACAGACAGACAAAGAGAGAGGTGGAGTGAAAATTGAACATGAAAATGACTGCAATTTCCTGTGAGATGAGAGGGAGAGTCATGGAGTGTGAGAGTGGGAAAGCAGAGAGGGAGATAGCTGAGGAACGCTCAATATTGAGTCACCATCAGTCGTTACTTGTAAAAATGACAATTTTTACCAAACTCTTACCTGTACCTATGTTTGTCCTGTACAACTGTGGTCCTTCCGCGCGGTGCTGAAATTCATACTTTTAATTAAAAAAAAATATTTGAATACAACCACCGACTTTTCCCTCATTTGTGTTGCTCAACTCAGCGTGAATGCACGTGCCAATTGAATCCCAGCTTACGTCAAGACCGCTACGTCTCCAGTTGAGTAACACAAAGGACCGCGATTGTACAGGTCAAAAATAGGTACAGGTAAGCGTTTCCAGAATTGAGATTTTTACAAGTATCAACTGATGGTGACTCAATGTTGTTGCTAGCAAATCGCGCGTCCAGTTATCAATAATCAACTCCGCCTTGATATAAGAGAACGGAGTTGAGCGTTCCTCAGCTTTGAGGGAGAGAGAGAGGGATTCATTATACCCGCTGATTGATTTCAGGAAAACAAGTATTTACTAAATATGGTGGTGGAAAGAGAGAGTGATGGCGGGGCAGGGTTACATTTAACTGATAACGTAACTGGATGAGTAAAATACACTCTCCATCCAAATCTGCTGACTCATCCACTAGCCTAGGCTAAGGTTTGAAATTAAACTATGATAAATAGAAAAAAGAGGCAGAGAGCACTAGGATCTGTTCAATAGTCTGCTTTAAAGACTTTCTATTCTAACACCTCCAGGCAGCACATCCACACCTAGCGGCCTAACTATAGGAGCACACAACTGAGCCGGTACTCAAAGGTTGTCTATGGTGACTCATAGAGATTTGGGATTTTCCCATAGGCAAATCAAATCAAATTGTATTTGTCACGTACACAGTTTTCAGCAGGTATAAAAGTTGCAGTGAAACGCTTGTGTGCTAGCTCCCTCAACAATACAGTACATTAGTCAATATCTATCATAACAATAATATCAAGTACGAGTCTGAGTGTGTCCTTTTGTGTTTGTTTGTGTGTGTTTGTGTGTAAGGGTTGAATGTGTGGAGAGTCAGTGCAAATAATCTAAGGTGCAGATAGTCTCTGAAGTGCAAATAGTCTGTAAGGTGCAGGTCTGTGCAGGGAGAAAGCTAGGGTTAGCTGTTCAGCAGTCTGATGGCCTGGTGGTAGAACCTGATGCTCCGATACCGCTTGCTAGATGGTAACAGAGTGAACAGTTCGTGGCTCGGGTGACTGGAGTCCTTGACGATCTTCCGGGCCTTCCTCAAACATTGCCTGTTGTACATGTCCTGGAGGACAGGGAGCTCACCCACAATGATGCACCACCCTCTGTAGAGCCTTGCAGTTGAGGGCGGTGCAGTTGCCATACTAGGCGGTGATACAGCCGATCAAGATGATTGTGTAGCTGTAGAACGTCTCGAGGATCTGAGGGCCCCTGCCACATTTCTTCAGTCGCCAGAGATTGAAGAGACGCTGTTGCGCCTTCTTCACCACGGTGGTGGTGTGATTGGTCCATGTCAGGTCCTCTGTGATGTGCACACTGAGGAACTTGGTGCTTTTGACCCACTCCACTGCAGCCCTGTGGATGTGGATGGGGATGTGCTCCCCCCGTTTCCTATAGTCCACAATCAGCTCCTTGGTTTTGCTGACGTTGAGGGAGAGGCTGTTTTCCTGGCACCACTCTGCCAGGGCTCCAACCTCCTCCCTGTAGGCTGTCTCGTCACCGTCGGCGATCAGGCCCACCACCGTTGTGTCGTCGGCACACATATACATTCATAAAGACATCACTTAAACACTGAGTCACTACTCAAGGTTAGGTTGAATTTTATTACATAAATGCTGATGTAGAGCTGGGACAATAAACATAAAATGATTGACACCGACCATACTTATAAATTTTATAGCAAGCATTTTTGCTGATATCGTTCATGACGATAAGTAGTCTATACTAGAGAAATGTGACGATTGAAATGAAATAGGTTTGCTAATATGGGTGATTGTTAATGGGACAATTGATGGCTACAACCATCAAACTAGTAGTAGTAGTGTACAGGATCATTACAAAAAAAACTGTGGTAGACATTAATGTTATGAGAAACGAAGAAGAAACCCGCACACTGCTCTTGATAGTATCACTGCTCTTTAATCAAAGCTCTGACGAAGGCCTTGAGGCCGATACGTAAAGCTTATTAAAGAGCAGTGATACTAGCAAGAAGTGTGCGGGTTTCTTCTTTTTTTCTCATCTAATTCAGCTGTTACCATGCACCTGCAAAAAAGATACCTCAGATGTGCGATACCTTTAGAATCTAGACATTAATGTTATAAAATGATAATTCTACTTGTCGTTATCGTATCAAATCATGCAATTTATCGCGACTTTTGTCCATATCGCCCAGCGTTATACTGATGTATAGCCAAGAAAACCAATTGAAAGCAAGCTAAAGTCACAAAGCCATCCATGCTTATCTCTAACTAACTCCCCCACTTCCATTTCTCCTCTCTTTCAGCTGCAGCGTCCTCTCTGCCTGATGGTGTGATGACAGTACAGTCTGGCATAGCAGCATCCTACTGGGTTAATGCATCATCTTCACAGACAAAGCAGAGCAGAGAGTACTGTTCATCCCTCTTAGGAGCACTGGGACAGGGTGCTCTCAATCTCAAGCCCTCACTCAGTAAAGGCCTTTCAACACACAGGCTGTCCCAATGGCACCCTATCCCCTATGTAGTGCACTACTTTTGACCAGTGCCCATAGAGCACTGGTCAAAAGTAGTGCACTATGTAGGGAATAGGGGACGCACTACAATATTACTGCAGGCAACGCTTATAACCTAAGTACAGTTGGTAAAGCAAATTACAGTCTGTGACTTGTGCCACATGGTACACAGAGATAGGCTATATGGAGCTGTGTTACGTGTGGGTGGGTTGGTTGCATGCCATTCCTGAAAAGGCTTGTGTCAGAAACCCCAAATCATGTGACACTGGGAGACAGTGACAGTCTGTGCAATGAGATTGTGTCATAATCGAAGAATGAACACTCAGCAAACTAGGCTATTCACTAAAAAATGGCACTAGAAAGTTCAGCCGTAGACCCAGCAGCATTTGAATTATGCTTATTCACCCCAAAATACTTATTTGCTGTAAAATACATCCATGATGCAAATTCCCCTATTCTAAACAGACAAACAATACTTTTAATATTCTGTAAACTGCCTACAGATTCATCGCCTTAAAGCCTACATGGCACACAATTGAAGGTGTGTCATGTAGGCTAGCATGTTATGGATTTAAAGTGAATTAGACCTTCCTGTGTAACCCACTACTGCCCTGAAAAGCTGTAATTACAATGTAGTAAATGCCCCACATGCCTCACAACACCTAGAAGAGGCATGTCAACAGCTGGGTCACAGAAAACTGATTTGACTCATTAGGCCGTATCAAATGTAGTGTAGTAATATGTAGGCATAGCATAGCTAGCTACATTGAATGGCCCTGCCTGTCACAATATTGCAATATGTAGGCCCTAGGCTATAGGCTGAAACAATAATAATTGTTCATGGAATACAGCTAGCAACATATTTCCTGTCTAACAAAAATTAAATATCCCACTTCACTTTCACTGTATCACTCAGTAGTCCCACACCCTGCCCTGCACCACAACGCAGAAAGGAGAGTGTAGCCTAGTGTAGTAAATGAATGACTAGATCAGACAAAGTGTACACACAGTAGTATTTCCTTGGCATTATTTGTTCTTCTGGCAAGAAATTTGATGCCAGAGAGTTAGCTAGCGAGCTAGGAAGATACAGTACTGATAGCTATACACTGCACAGACAAAGCAGAGCAGAGCGAACGGTTCATCCCTCTTAGGAGCACTGGGACAGGTTGCTCTCAATCTCAAGCCCTCACTCTCAGAGTAAAGGCCTCTCAACACACAGCTTTGTCCCAATGGCACCCTATCGCCTATATAGTGCACTACTTTTGACCAGGGCCCAGATAGAGCTCTGGTCAAAGGTAGTGCACTATTTAGGGAATAGGGGACGCAGACCACCCCTTTCACTGTATCACTCAGTAGTCCCACGCCCTGCCCTGTACCACAAAGCAGAAAGGAGAGTGTAGCCTAGTGTAGTAAATTAACGACCATATCAGATAAAGTGTAGACACAGTAGTATTTCCTTGGCATTATTCGTTCTTCTGGCAAGCAATTTGGCACCAGAGTTAGCTAGCGAGCTAGGAAGATACCGATACTAGCTAGCTACTACACTGGCTAGCTAGCCAGCTGGCTAGTAAACAAAGGTGGTGGTTTTCTGACAGCCAACAATGTGGTCCCCCCTAGCCCATTCAAATAGACGGTAATACTCCGCTTGGGTTCTTGAGAGCTGGTCCCCAACCCTGTCCCTGAAACCAACAAGTCCACATTAACAACACTTACCGAGAAGAGCATTGAGTAGACATTTAAGGTGAATTTGATGAAATAATAGAAGCGGTTGCTGTTTCTCACTTCTTTGTATGAAGGCATATTGCTTGGTAGCTGAATAAGCTAGCTAGCTAGCCAAGAACCAAAGTTAGCTAACGTTAGCTAGCTAGCTAGCTATGCTAGTAGAATAATATCAACAACACTGCACTGATTAGCTATTTCAGCAAATTAGCTAGCTATATTATTGGATAGAATTTTCAAAACGTCTCAATTTTGCACGAGGACGTCTACGCCTTAATGTATCTAATTTAGCTACTCCCGTTAAATTGTGTCTCACACACACAAATCCCCCTCTCTTCCCACAAACAATAACTTCCGTGCACGCTCTGATTTCGCCAGATCATTTAAAGGGCCAGAGCGGTGAAATACATTGTACTAACGATGTAATGAACGCGTCATCTCACCCTATCTTTTAAAAATAATTATCTAAATACATATCAATTTCGTGTTTTTTTTTGCTATTCATAGCAATTATCCAACAACACTCGACAGCCCAGACCGTAGACAAAGGACCTTGCTCTCATCATCCAGACATGCATTGCTTGCTTTCCTTTGGAACGAACATCTTAAAGGAAATAGGTCACATCCAAGGCTCCCCTTGGCCACTTTATAGGCTGTGTCACTACCCGGCAAATGTCACTGTTACTGGACAAAGTGCATTTAATCCCAGGAATTGCTCCTTATTGCATCAGTTGTTGGTTGGCTCTTGTTGGTGTATGTTTGGCACACATGTATGTGATGAAGATGTTGGATACTAGGCTATTACTAGGTCACTAATATTTGTTGTAACTTACATGTTGTAGGCCTACAATGAACACATCTAACTAGCATGTATGGGAATACCAGCTTGTGCCCTAATACCGGCTCACACACATTCAGCACCATGGACAGCGTTGCGAACCCAATTCAGCACCACAGCCGCTGAACAGCGCAGCTCCCAGGCAACTCATTCCCCTTTTCCCTGGACTTTAGAATTGAAGATTCAATGCACCTGTATGGTGGCGCTGCAGAAAAGCTTGCTGAAAGACTCTGCCATGCTTTTGCTATTTTTCCCATTCCTTTCTCCCTTGAACTTTAGAATTGTAAACTTACAGGAAATAGAAGATACAGAACAGTATTGCAATAGCCTAAGACTACTCATTTCAGACTCTTTTGAAATGTAGGCTATATTTTATTGAATAAATACTGTATTAGCAAACTGACTCTAAGAATATTGAGTCCAATTAATCAATCAATCAATCAAGAAATGTCCATGAATTATTATCCACATAATAATTCACATTTCCTGTTGCTGCAGTATCATTTTCCTGCTCTAGCAAACTGGCTCAAATTAAGATCCCACATCTGTATTAGATTTCAAAGCCCTAGCAAGGTCTAATCAATAGCCTATGCCTTTGGATCTACGAGTCATTACACACAATTGATACGGACAAGATTTTCTTGAAGCCAGGTAGCTAAGTCCATCTACAGCTAAAAGCCCATTTTTGGGATATAAAGCCCTCTTGCATTTCAGTGGAAAACAAGCTGCTCCTCGCTGCCACTCACACATACACCTGAGCGTGCCTGGAATATGGGTGGCTTGTTTATTGCCTAATATTCAATAATGGATCATTCATGAATTAAAGATGGTTGTGCTGAGGGCATTGGGGATCACTGAATGAATTACTGGCCAGATGCACATAGGGGTCTGTCTATTGGATGCCAACTCACATAACCAGTGACCGACTGATGGACTGACGGAATGAATGACTGTCACAGTGGTGGTCATGTTATTGTGAGTGATAGTCGGAATATAGCTTAACAGGATATTATATGAAAGGAAGCACACATGGTGTTGTCACTCAATTATCCCAATTTTTGATCATCCCCCATTAGATATACATGTCACAAAATATGCCCTTTCTATCAGAATAGGGTGACTCAGAGTGACTATTTAGAAATAATTAAATACATGGGTCTGGGTTGACCACCGCCCCAAAAACACTGGATAAAGAACTGTCAAAAACAAGACAGGAGCAAAAAGTCAGCTTTTGGCATTCAAAGCAGGTTGCAAAAAGGTCAAAACAGAAGAGCTCATTTGACCATAAAGCACTTTGAATTCTGAGGTGTTCTCATGTAAATCACCAGGACGAAGGTCAGAGAGCTAAGGACTAAGCTCATTCTTATTGATGTTTTGTCTATTGAATTTGTCCTTTAAACACTGGTGTAATTATTCCAAAAGTGAATTAGACAATTAGCAACTTATCTGAACTGCCATTCTTCATTGTGAGAAAGTGCTGGACGGAAACTACTCTGACATAGATCAGGATAGTAGAGCCCAAAGACACAATATTAGAGCCCAAAGACAATATTAGAGCCCAAAGACATTTCTTGCCTAATTGATTATAACTGTGTAATATTTACACCAGATAACAGGAGTTCTGTTCTGTTTCTGGTCATCACTATAATAAACCTTGATTTTCTTCCTCATCTCTAAGGCAACAGAATAATCTAGTTTTCCTCTACCTATGCTGTTCACGTTGCCATGCAAACAGTAACATGCCTGTACTGTGCCAAAATGAATATCATACAATTAATGTGAAACAATGTTGTACATGATTCAATCGTCTCTCTCCCATTGCCTATAGGGGGAACTGGTGAGAATGTTGAATTGCTGACATGTTTTAAGCAGTCCCGATGATTACCTTGGAGCACTGATAACTTATTTCCTTGGGAAAGTGACATCTGCCAAAAATAGAAGGTTTGGTTGAGAGAGAATGGAATTTAAGAAGGACATCTAAAAGAGGATGAGAGAGAGGAGATAGAACAGTGATCCGAAAATAAAGGCTGTGTGTGACTCACAAGGCGGGGAGCATGGAGAGGACAGACAGGTAGAGAGAACTCTCTACTAATGACTACAGTGTCTAGGTAATGTTCTGTACCATGCATTTCATAACCACCATTTTGTCCTCAAGTTCATAGATAGTAGTTAGATGAATTCAATATGTTCTCTCAAATAATAGATGATTCTGTAGCTCTTAGAGATAACGTTTACAGGAATAGGAGCTCACATCATGATGAAACCTACTGTTATCCAAGATAATGACATAATCTACTGTATGGAGGTACAGATTTACGTCATTTAGCAGACGCTCTTATCCAGAGCGACTTACAGTTAGTGAATATATATATATATTTTTTTTTTCATACTGGTCCCCCGTGGGAATTGAACCCACAACCCTGGCGTTGCAAACGCCATGCTCTATCAACTGAGCTACATCCCTGCCGGCCATTCCCTCCCCTACCCTGGACAACGCTAGGCCAATTGTGCGCTGCCCATGAGTCTCCCGGTCACGGCCGGCTGCGACAGAGCCTGGATTCGAACCAGGATCTCTAGTGGCACAGCTAGCACTGCGATGCAGTGCCTTAGACCACTGCGCCACTCAGTGTAGGATATTCATCTGATCAACCTGTTGCAGGAGAGTTGCAATGCAGGACATTTAAAACTTGTATTGTATTTGAGGTTTTAAAAGGCTTCTGAAGTTTGTAATTTCCACTTTTAAATCTCAGACTTGATTTTCCCTTACAAAAACTTTCCATTAATTATAATCCACATAATAATTCAAATTTCCTGTTGCTCCAGGATAATGTTCCTGCTGTTGCTGGCTCAATTTAAGATCATACATCTGTACAGTAGTTACACAGTAGCATCCTCTGCACTTGTGAGCTTTTAAGCAATCCTATGGATGAAAATCAATAGACAGTCCTCATTGCAAGGGCTTCCAACTGTTTAGTGGTGTATAACTGCGTTGGTTCTACTGTATAGGTGCACACATAATGATGTTACCATTATACTGTCAGGCATGTCATTGGTTGCTCTTTGTGAAATAACATTTTAAATTCTTCTTCTCAATTGTTATAGGTACAGGTAAGACACATGAATCAACCTCCATTATTTCCAGTGATGAGATTACTACAGTATATGATGCTAGTAGTACTATGACAGGCTACCATTGTGTGGTCTTTTCTCAATTCTACAGAAGATTTTCCAAGAACTGCAATGCCCTAGCCTCGGCTCCCAGGCTTCACTCACATTATGTGAAAGCCTGTGACAGAGGCGAGCAATGCCCTTATAAAATGCAATGTCCTTGTAGAAACGTATTACTACATATGATGCACTCAGACACAGAAAATGACACAGAACAATTTATCTCTTGGCCTCCGGAGGTTCTCTCTCTCTCTCTCTCTCTCTCTCTCTCTCTCTCTCTCTCTCTCTCTCTCTCTCTCTCTCTCTCTCTCTCTCTCTCTCTCTCTCTCTCTCTCTCTCTCTCTCTCTCTGTTGCTCAAGCACTTTGACTGATTGTCAATCTGTCCCTATTCCTTGGCTACAACATTCATTCAGTAATTTAGCTATGACCATTATAGTGCAGAGAGCACCACAGAGCATTGGGTGGTTGTGGCAGAAAGGGCCACCAGATGGACAGTGAGCAGGAACATGTGGCAAACAGTCAGTTGTGATAATGATCAAAGAAATGCATACAACTTCTCCTTAAAATTGATTTCCCTGCTCTTTCAGGTCTTAGACATGATTTCAGTTATGCTTGACATAATACTGTATCCATCCCCTTATGGCGTATGCAATAGAAGCCCATCAGGTACGTTTTCAGAGGCCTCTAAAACCCCCAAAACATATCACAAAGCTGTCCACCTCAGTATACATCTCTTCTACACTTTTTACACTGATTTGGGGAAAGGAAAACAGAGCAACATTCATTTTAGTCTCTCTCTAATCTACCCTTCTCTTTCCCCTTTTCCCATTTTTTGGCTCCATGTCATGTTTCTCCAATGTTGTCAGAATATGTGGCCTATGTTAGCTGATTGGAAATAGTGAGGTAGAGAGCCTATAATGAAATACACTCAGTTTAAACACACCACCCATTCACTATAGGTATCCCCCCATATGCTACTGCAGCAACATGTATTTTTTCGGCTAAATACCTCTCTATTGTCTGCATTTAGACAATTATGAATTTGCTAAACTATGCTGGGCTCGCTAAACAAGTTGTCCAGTCCATGAACGTTTCTCGTTACCACACACTACTGCAGAACATCTCTGATATTTGCGTAAGCGCTCTCTTGGCTGCGCTCCCGTTGGCACGCATCTAAGTATGAGAGTAGAGAGAGAGAGAGAGAGAGAGAGAGAGAGAGAGAGAGTGAGAGAGAGAGAGAGAGAGAGAGAGAGAGAGAGAGAGAGAGAGAGAGAGAGGAGAGAGAGAGAGAGAGAGAGAGAGAGAGAGAGGGAGAGAGACGAGAGAGGAGAGAGTGTGTGTTCTTCAATGAGCCAAGAGTACAGGGTACCGAGTGCAGAGTAGAGCGCTAGAGCGTGGAGTCAAGTCAAGGAACAGCTCCTTCCACGTCCGGAGTCTTTTTGCTGTGGTGCAGAAGAGGTGCACCGTTGAACGCCACGTACCAAGGAACACCTACATTTTACACGGCGCGGAGTCAACTTAAGTACACATTCATTTTATTTTCTTTTTTTTATAACTGCGGGCTATTCTAAATGTTCTGTGTGTGAGCTGCGTCTTCAGTGAACATTACATTATGTTAGAATTCTAATTTAGGTGTGCCAAATTCGTCAGGATGGCAATGATGAAGAAAGTTTAAACTGAAAGACATCAGCACTATCCAAGATGATTTCTTACCATTTCCTCAATCAGTAACTGGTTGATTAGTGTACATTTCATAGGTGTTGCATGACCAATTCTATTATTGTCACCAGCAGAATACCCCAAAAAATGGATCCCATGTTCACCACAACTGATTTACAATTGCCAAGCAATTGGACCAACTCATCAGGGGACAATGGAACTGATCAGGACTGGAACCAGTTTGTGCAACCAGTTTGGAGAATTGTTCTATGGGCATTCGCCTACAGTTGCATGGTTACTGTGTCTCTGGTGGGGAACGTCGTTGTAATATGGATCATTATGGCGCACAAACGAATGAGAACTGTGACCAACTATTTTCTGTTGAACCTCGCGTTTGCTGAAGCGTCTATGTCTGCCTTCAACACCGTTATCAACTTCATCTATTCAGTGCACAACGAGTGGTACTTCGGGCTGATGTACTGCCGCTTTCACAACTTCTTCCCCGTCGCTGCTGTCTTCGCTAGTATCTACTCTATGACTGCGATAGCGGTGGACAGGTGAGTTCAGTTAGGGGAGACATTTCAATGCGTAGCTTCTTCTGTTTCACACTGATCTAACACGTAAATTTAGTCCAAGTGCTAAATGTATGTTTATGGTCACAATAAGTCAAACAGAACAATAATGCACTTTAATAATAATCACGCACTTGAATCCTGTCACCAAGTTATTAGTAGCCTAATAACTAAATGATGTTATAGCATATTAGGATTAAGATAATAACATTTCTACATAAACTACCAGTCAAAAGTTTGGACACAGCTACTCATTCAAGGGTTTTTCTTAATTTTTTACTATTTTTTACATTGTAGAATAATAGTGAAGACATCAAAACTATGAAATAACACATATGGAATCATGTAGTAACCAAAAAAGTGTTAAACAAATCAAAATATATTTTATATTTGAGATTCTTCAAATAGCCACCCAAATAGCCACCCTTTGCCTTGATGACAGCTTTGCACACTCTTGGCATTCTATCAACCAGCTTCATGAGGTAGTCACCTCATGGACAATGACCCAACACACCTCCAGGCTGTGTAAGGGCTATTTGACCAAGAAGGAGCGTGATGGAGTGCTGCATCAGATCCCCCGACCTCAACCCAATTGAGATGGTTTGGGATGAGTCGGACGGCAGAGTGAAGGAAAAGCAGCCAACAAGTGCTCAGCATATGTGGGAACTCCTTCAAGACTGTTGGAAAAGCATTCCAGGTGAAGCTGGTTGAGAGAATGCCAAGAGTGTGCAAAGCTGTCATCAAGGCAAAGAGTTGCTATTTGAAGAATCTCAAATACAAAATACATTTTGATTTGTTTAACACTTTTTGGGTTACTACATGATTCCATATGTGTTATTTCATAGTTTTGATGTCTTCACTGTTATTCTGTAGAAAATGTAGAAAATAGTACAAATAAAGAAAAACCCTTGAATGAATAACTGTGTCCAAACTTTTGACTGGTACTGTAGGTTACATAGACATGTTATATAGCAAAACATTTATTAATTCAAAAAAATTGGTTCTGGAGTGATGCTACTGCCACTGCTACTACTTCCATCATCAAATCGATCAAACCAACCAATCAATATATATTTCATTTGTGCACTGCAATTCAAAAGGTTATTTAGGGTATGTCAATCAGCAACTTCTATAGATAATTTAAATTAATAATAATGTATGTAGTAGATGTGACTTATGTATGTGTTCATGTTATGTATTGATGTGAGGTGTTAGTTACTATATACACAATACGTGTATATAGTAGGTCTGTAGCTGATCTGTTCAGAGACACGTTCACATAACACACACTGGGTGCTGTATATATATATATATATATATATATATATATATATATATATATATATATATATATATATGTCTTCGGACAGGCATATAAACACTCTCTATCAATCAGCATTTCATCTCTCTGCACCCAGCCAATCAACACCGGGCAAACCTGTATGTGCTTGACTGACCTTGCAGCTTAACTGACCAATAGAATAGTCCCAAAACTGTAAACCCCATACATTTGGTACTCCAGACAGGCTATAGCAAACGTTTTGTTTCAAGTTTCAAGTTTTATTGTCACGTGCACGAGTACAGTGAAATGCTTTTCTTGCAAGCTCTTTTCCCAACAATACAGTAGTCAATATCAATATATAGTACTATAAAATAAAGTAAAGTAGAACAAAAAACACAAGAAATAGAAATAAAAAGAACACGAGAAGTAAGTAAGCTATATACAGAGTCAGTTTGTCACGTTGTATAATGATTAGAAGACAGGCGCAGGAATACGTATTAGGGGTTTTATTACTCCACCCAACACAAACATATATATATATGCAAAAGGGATGTAACCCAAACAAAGAGCGAGGTGTAACCTCTACACAGTACACGGGACGAGACCCGTAAACAACCGGAGCACAATACACAGTACTCACGAGACCAACGGACATGGGACAATAATCGACAAGGACAATGGGGAACAGAGGGCACATATGAACACATACTAATCAGGGGGAATGGGAACCAGGTGTGTGTAATGAGACAAGACAGTCCGGGGTTGGTGGTAATGATCCAGGTCAGTGACGCCTAGAAAGCCGGTGACGTAGACCTCTGGAACTGGTGAACAGAATGAGCAGCAGTACCGGGGGGATCCGTGACACAGTTCCAATACCATATTTAAATTGTGCAGAAATACTAAAGTGGTAGGGGTTGATATGTATAAGGGTAAGGTGACTAGGCATCAGGAGTAGCGTATATGATGCTTGTATGTGAGTGTGTGTGCGTGCGTGTGTGTAGAGTCAAATTAAATCAAATGTTATTCGTCACATGCTTCGTAAACAACAGGTGTGGACTAACAGTGAAATGCTTACTTACTGGTCCTTCCCAACAATGCAGCGAGAAAGAATTTAAAAAAAAATAATAGAAAAGTAAAACACGTAATAATACAAGTAATAATAGATACACAATAAGTAAAGATAACTTGTCTATATACAAAGGGTACCACTACCGAGTTGATTTGCAGGGGTATGAGGTAATTGAGGTAGAAATGTACATATAACTAGGAATAAAGTGACAGATAGTAAACAGTAGCAGCAGCATATGTGATGAGTCAAAAAGGGTCAATGCAGATAATCCGGGTAGCTATTTGGTTAACTATTTAACTAGCTATTTAGCAGTCTAATGGCTTGGGGGTAGAAGCTGTTCAGGATCCTGTTGGTTCCAGACTTTGTGCATCGGTACCGCTTGCCGTGCAGTAGCAGAAAGAACAGTCTATGACTTGGGTAGCTGGAGACACCACCTTGTATAGAGATCCTGGATGTCACGGAGCTCAGCCCCAGTGATGTAATGGGCCATACGCACTACCCTCTGTTGCGCCTTGCGGTCAGATGCCAAGCAGTTGCCGTACTAAGTGGTGATGCAGCCAGTCATGATGCTCTCAACGGTGCAGCTGTGTAGCTTTAGAGGATCTGAGGGCCCATGCCACATTTTTTCAGCCTCTTGAGGGGAAAGAGGCGTTGTCGTGCCTTGGTCTTACGGATGTTGAGGGAGAGGTTGTCCTGGCACCACACTTCCAGATCACTGACCTCCTCCCTGTAGGCTGTCTCATCGTCGCTGGTGATCAGTCCTACCACCGTTGTGTCGTCAGCAAACTTGATGTTGGAGTCGTGCGTGGCCACACAGTCGTGGTTGAACAGGGAATATGGAGGGGACTAAGCACACACCCCTGTGGGGCGTCTGTGTTGAGGGTCAGCGTGGCGGAGGTGATGTTGCCTACCCTCACCACCCGTCAGGAAGTCCAGGATCCAGTTGCAGAGAGAGGTGTTCAGTCCCAGGGTCCCAAGCTTGGTGACAAGCTTGGAGGGGACTATGGTGTTGAACACTGAGCTGTAGTCAATGAACAGCATTCTCACATAGGTATTCCTCTTATCTAGGTGGGTGAAGGCAGTGTGGAGTGCAATTGAGATTGCATCATCTATGGATATGTTGGGGCAGTAGGCAAATTGTAGTGGTTCTAGTGTGTCTGGGATTATGGAGGTAATGTGTGCCATAAATTCAAAGCACTTGGGAATAGGAAGGATGGTGGTCAGTTTGAGACGTGTGGATTAGAGACTGAGACAAGGAGAGGTTGAAAATGATGCCTGCGCATCCTCTGAGAACATGCCCTGGAATACTGTCCGGCTCCGCGGCCTTGCGAGTGTTGACCTGCTTAAAAACCATACTCACGTTGGCCTCAGAGAGCGAGATCACCCTGTCAAAGTGTGCATAAAATACATTGAGTTGGTCTGGTAGAGAGGCATCGTTGGGCAGGTCATGGCTGGGTCTTCCTTTCTAATCCGTAATGGAGTGTTGCCCCTGCCACATGTGGCGGGTGGCAGAGCCTATGTAATAGGATTCCACCTTGTTCTTTCATTGTCCTTTAGCTTGTTTGATGGCTCTGGGGAGGTCGTAGTGGGACTTCTTGTACTTATTCTTGTCCTCAGCCGTAGCCTCGAGGTTGGCTGTGATAACCCTGTGTGTGGTAGCTCTCTCCTTTAGCTTAGCTTCAACTTCTGTGTTAATCCAGGGCTTTTGATTGGGGAAGCAGCGAACCTTCACTGTTGGGACAACGTTGGCAATGCAGTTCCTAATGAAGCTGGTGACGGAGATGGTTAGCTCGTTGATGCGCTAGCAAAGCAGTCCTGTAGCATAGCCTCCGATTCGGAGGACCATTTCTCAACGGAGCGCATCATGGGTACTTCCTGTTTGAGCTACTGCTTGTAGACAGGAATCAGGAGAATATAGTCATGATCTGATTTGCCGAAGGGGGGACAAGGGAGGGCCTTATATGCTTTCTTATGGGTAGTGTAACAGTGGTCTCAGACTTTATCACCCCTTGTGGCGAAGGAGACGTGTTGATGGAAGTTGGGCATCACGTGTCTTAATGACACCGGTAACAAGAAAAGCAGACTTCGGGTGCATCATTTCCTGCTTGTTTATAGACTCATACAGATCGTTAAGTGCCAGCTTGTTGTTATTTTTGTCCTGACGTGGAATGTATAAAACAGTCACAATAACAGCAGAAAACAATCTTGAGATGTAGAAGGGTCGGCATTTGACCATCAGGTATACCAAGACGGGTGAACAATGGGTCGAGACATCCACTGCGTTAGATTCGGCACACCATTTGCTGTTGATGAAAAGGCATACCCCTCCCCCTCTCGATTTCCCTGAATCCAATGTCCTGTCTGCTTGGTGAACGGAAAATCAATCGAGTTGGATAGCCATCGGGGGTATCTTGTCCAAAAGCCATGTTTCATATTTACTTTTTGAAATAAGTATTTGAACCCAGGTCTGCCACCAGGGCCCATCTCCTCCCATCTGTTGATGGGGATATTATGCAAGGGTGAAGGTCAGCAATTGTGTTGGCACCTCTGCAGAAAGACTCCATACCATGGGGAGCTCTCCATGAGACGAGAGCACCCTGACGGGAGAATCTTCCTTTTACTTTATTGCATTATTCATCATATTGTAGGGGGCTTTGATGGTTTAGATGTTATTGCCGGATCATTGGATTTGTGCCTCTCTAATTAATTCATACCATCTTCCAGTGTTGTCTACTATTGTTCACAACAAAGCCAGGAATAACAGAGAAAGAAAGTGAGGTGCGAAACAGCTGTGACAGAAATTGAGACAAAGAGCGAGGCTGCAGACACTCTGGGGCAAATAGTAGCTACAGAAAACAGATCGAATTTCCTGTTGGAAAATAACAAAAGGATTCCCAAAACAGTGATTCCATGGTGTAGTAGGGGTATGAAAATACAAATAAAGACAGTGGTTGTGTGTTTGTTGTTTGTTCATGTGGACATACAGTATGTAAATATATGCATTTGTATTACATTGGTGAAAAGCAAACAAGCTGGTATCAGTCACCAGTATTTAACCCACACTAGCCTCATAAACCAGGCCTCTATAGATCCTACTGTATATACTGTAGGCCTCTCCAAGTATTGTTGTCAGACACACCACTAAACTAAACTCATACCATGGAGAAGCAGCATTGCAAGTCTCAATTGAAACAAGATACAAGTTTCCTAGCCGTGTAGTAATGGAACAAGCCTAGGATAGCAGATAGTCAAAATGTTGCAGATAGTTGTGTTGGACTACAGGGAGTGTTTTGAAATCAAATATATTCTCTTCCCCCAGTTGGTTATTGGCAGAAAGTCCAATTAGCAGATTAAATGGGGCTATTAGGTGGATTAAGATGTTGATTAGATCTCCCAGTATAACCCCTAGAGTATAAGCCTCTAGATAGCAATATCTACTAAGCTAACAGATGGAAATTGTTTTGAGATGGTCATACCATAGACCATCTAGCTAGTTGATTTAGAATTTTAGGACCCCTGTAGGTATCAGCAAAAAATCCGTTTTTTATTATTGATGAAACATTGAATTAGGCCTTACTGCTATTAGCCCATAGAAACGCATTGAATAACACATTCATACAGAGAGCTTATGTGAAAGAGCACAGTTAGAAAGATATGGCATATAGAAGCAAACCGGATGGACATCATAAATGCATATTGTATGTATAAGCTGGAAGTAGAAGCCTAAGCATTGTTGTTCACTAGTTTACTCCAATTAGGGAATGGGTGGTGGGGTTGGAAAGTACTAAAGGGAAATATATATTTTTTAAATGATATGTATGTGTATATATGGGGGATTGGAAGTGATGCAGACAATTACATTGACGGAAGTTACAATCTATCTGCAATATTAAAGCTGATCTAACCAAAACAAACATTCATACATGGCAAAAACAGACATGGCAAAACCGGTCTCTGACATTGCTCATTCTGATATTTCTTAATTTTTCTGGATTATGTGTGTATTGTTTTTATTATTAATATTGCTAGGTATTACTGTACTGCTAGAAACACAAGCATTTGCTGCACCTGTGATAATATCTGCAAATCTGTGTACGCGACCAATAAACGTTAATTTGATTGGATTTAAAATAGTCCAGAAATAAATCAATAGGAAGTATGTTTTGAAGTATGTTTCCTGTATTTTAGAGATATGGGAAAGCTCAGGGACATTTTTTGTTGTTGAAAGACCCTATTCACTTCCAGTCACTGGATGACCTTCGGACCAGTACTGTGAGGCTTGTGTCTCTGCTTTTCAGAACTGGGTCCAACTCGTTTCTAGCTCAAACTATTCCGACTTTACAGACGTTTTTGTGAGAACACCTGTACAGAGTTGGTACGCCGAAGAGACCGATTTCAGACTAATTTTGTGAAGCTTTTGGCCGTCGTAGAGCAAAATGGATGAGACGTTCGTATTCGTGAGAGTCTCTGCTTTCAAAATAGTCACTAGCTCAAACCGTTTGGACTTCACAGACGTTTTCATGAAAATACCTGTCTCCTGGTCTCACAAACACCATTGTAAGTCTGTCGTTTTCCACTGCAGAGCCGAACGGACGACACCGGCGCATGCAGTGGTTTGAGACGCGCAGCCCATGCAAAACCCCGAAAGCCCCGAAAGAACAATGAAAAAAATCTGTGGAACTGGCTTCGAGGTCCAGAGTTGAGTTTGAGGATAAGGAATAGGGTGCCATTTGGGACATAAACTAAGATATTCATGCACTTAGTATGTGCTCCGACTGAAATTAAGTGCTGCATGATTATCGATCTAAGAGAGAATGATACTAAAGTAGTGATGAGAATAAATACTTTGACTTCAAAGCATTCTGAAGGGCCTCTTTTCATTTCAAAGGTCTGATACTGTCTGGTTTAATTATTCTGTTGGTATGATTAAAAGGAGACCAATTTACAGTATGATTTCCTCTTATCAGAAAAATGTATTCACAGGATGATGATAAGCTTTTACTCTGTCAATGGCAGACGTAGTCTATGAGTCAAACTAAAATTGTAACATGCACATTGCATTGTTGGAGACCCTGAAAATGTTTTATCAATACCTTCAGTGTGTGTGTGTGTGTTTGTGTGCTTGTAGATCTTCCCATTGTATCTTCCCCCAGGACTGAACATGTGTTTGCCCCTGCTGCCTCTCCTCTCCTCCTAGGTACATGGCCATCATCCACCCCCTGCAGCAGCGCATGTCATCCACAGAGACCAAGGTGATCGTGGGGGTGATCTGGGTGCTGGCTCTGCTTCTGGCCTTCCCTCAGTACTACTACTCAGTGACCGAGGAGCTGCCTGGACGAATCATCTGCTACATCGAGTGGCCCGAATACACAGGCTGCGACTACAAAATTATGTGAGTTTCCTTTATAAGTATGTTTGAGAGAGAGAGAGAGAGAGAGAGAGAGAGAGAGAGAGAGAGAGAGAGAGAGAGAGAGAGAGAGAGAGAGAGAGAGAGAGAGAGAGAGAGAGAGAGAGAGAGAGAGAGAGAGAGAGAGAGAGAGAGAGAGAGAGAGAGTCAGTGAATAAAAGCAGCATGGAACAAAGATGCTTTGTTTATTTTAATTTTTTTTAATAATACCTGCTTATAGAATACACCTGTGGTTATGGAAAATACAATTCCATGTTCATTTTATTGTAGGGGAGAGTGGGGTGTTGAGCCATTTTCTACATTCAGCATCACTCCATCAAGGGAAATATCGTATTCTTTCTAACTAAAATATCTTCAGGATGTTGTGTATCCCTGGAAATAATCAGAATTCATGTAAACATTACAGTTTTGAAAACATAGCTTGTCCAAAAAAAGTGGTCAATGGGGTAAGTTGTAGCTAGCTAGTATTCTAACCTTGTCTAGTTAGGTAATGTTATCAGCTGTTTGTTTTTTTGGAACCACCATATTCTAAAGATTAGCCAGCCATGGCTGGTTCTGGAGCTGGATTTGTCATACGCATTGATTTAGTGAAAACTGTTGTCTTCAAAGTTTTGGCATCTTCCATAAATTGCAGCTGAGAGTCCGCCATAGAAATAGTTCGAAAGAATAAGATGAAGCTCTGGCAATATGGATAACTATTGAAAGATAGCTGATATGCGTTATTCTACATTGTAATGGACACGGTGCAACCTTTGGGAGGTAGGCTGCTGGCAGGCTTTGGCTGAGGTACAGCAAAGCCAAGTCAGCCAGTGCTCATGGTTCTCACAGGGGAAGGGAAATGATAGGCTACAATTACTTTGCTCATGATCATGCATGCCGCAAATGGCATGTAACTATAAATTCCTTGAATTCTCTTTCGCAGGGGCCTTTTAATTATCTGGATAGACACTTGTGGTTTCTAGCTAACGTTACACCAATCAAAGCAGTGGAGCATGTAGTGAAGCAAAACTTTAGTGGTGAAAACCTCATCTCAGTCACGAAGAGGAATAACTTTGTAGCTGATTCTGATTAATAAACAATTCCAAGCTGGTGGGTGGTAACATTCAAATAAAACTCAGTCCTAAACCGAAATGTAGTCTGAAAATAATTGGTATTTCATATCATAGGAAAAAACACAGCATTCACATGGATTTGCACAAAGTGGGCAGATCGGATTTGTCACTTCAAGCTTAAATATATCATACTTTGACTAAAATGATGACTTATTGACTTAAATCATTGTACAACATCATGGGTAAGCTCTGGCCATCGTCTTTCATCCCGAAAAAAGGTGTTTAACACCAAACATAGGCCAGGATCTGTTGTTACCTCATATCCCAGCGATATTGCCTTGCATTACGTCTGGGAAGAAAACACTTCAATTTGCTCAACTTGCCATTGGCTCAATTTTATGGAGGACTAAAAGTGCCACAATTAAATAAATAAATACACCATTAAATAATTACTTAAATGTGTCATTAATTAATTAAAATTTGAATTAAATACATAAATGTGTTATTAAATGTGTCATTAATTAATTCAAATACCGATTCATTTTATGTAAAATACATATATAATTATTTCACTATTTACATTTACATTTCATGATCCTGCATTGCAGTGATTCATGAATTACTTAAAACTGTCAAACTGACCCATCAAAGTCAGTGGGCGGGGCTAACGCGAATCTAGTCTGATCCATTGCTTTGGTCTGAAGTAGAGTAGGCCAACCTGGATAGAGACAATGGAGGATCTCCGTGAACTTTCCAGGGAGTTGGTTAGAGACATTTTAAACTTAGCAGAGGATGTAGAAGCAGGACCTGCTGACATTATCCGGAATTGATTTGTCTTGGCTTGATGCAGAGGGTAACCAATCAGGCGTTAGGTTCCGCCTACCAACTTTTGATGGGTCAGTTTGACAGTTTTAAGTAATTCAGGAAGCACTCCAACGCAGGACCATGAAATGTAAATGTAAATAGTGAAATTATTATATATGTATTTTACATAAAATGAATCGGTATTTGAATTAATTAATGACACATTTAATAACACATTTATGTATTTAATTCTAATTTTAATTAATTAATGACACATTTAAGTAATTATTTAATGGTGTATTTATTTATTTAATTGTGGCACTTTTAGTCCTCCATACAATTTACCCCAGGGCTATTGGCTCAAATTACCCCAAGGCAAACATTTGTGACTATATTAGCCCACACAGCTACAAGGATGCACTTTCATGCTAGGTTTAGGACCTCATATTGAAGCTTATAGAGACCCCAAGTGATATATAGAATAATCTTAAAATGATCAACCTTGGTTCAGATACAAGCATTATGAAACCTCTAACACAATACATTCATTTGACTTGGTGAAAATCCTTTTTTCTTGCCACTTTTTCCATGTGGTTTCTTCCTTCACAGACTCCATGAAAGGATGACCTCTTCCCAAATATTTGGTCAAATTATTACATTTTGTGTATGGTTTCCAAGAAACAAGGTTGGCTCCACTTACCCCTTTGGCTCAACTTATCCCACTCCCCCCTACAGTTTACACTTCTCTCACTATTTATTAAAGCCAATGTACAGCAAAGTCTAACTCTGTTTTAAAAGGCACCCTATTCCCTTTATAATACTTTTGACCAGGGCCCAATGGGGCTTTAAATCGGTTTACATGTTATTGTCCAGATTATTCATTTTATTGTAGAGGTCACTGCATCGCAGTGCTAGCTGTGCCACTAGAGATCCTGGTTCGAATCCAGGCTCTGTCGTAGCCGGCCATGACCGGGAGACCCATGGGGCGGCGCACAATTGGCCCAGCATCGTCCAGGGTAGAGGAGGGAATGGCCGGCAGGGATGTAGCTCAGTTGGTAGAGCATGGCATTTGCAACGCCAGGGTTGCGGGTTCGATTCCAGTATTTAAAAAAAAATTATAATAATGTATGCACTCACTAACTGTAAGTCGCTCTGGATAAGAGCGTCTGCTAAATTACTAAAATGTAAAATGTAATTGTCCAGATTATTCATTTTATTTTAGAGGTATTTGGTGGTTTAGATGTTATTGTCCAGATTATTCCTTTTATTTTAGAGGTCTTTGGCGGTTTAGATGTTATTGTCCAAATTATTCCTTTTATTTTAGAGGTCTTTGGCAGTTTAGATGTATTTTATCATTGGATCTGAGCTTCTTTCATTCATTAACACCATCTTCCAGCGTTGTCTGCCATTCTTAAACATTGTCAAAGACATTCACGACTCAACCAGCTAGAAAACAGAGGAGACAGATGATGTGAAAGAGTTACACTAATCTATGATCTGTTCTGGAGAGTTGTGAAAGGACGGGGTGCAGCACTTTAATGACTGAGTTGGAGTTGTGCGAGTCAGATCTGCTCTCCTCAGTATATATACTGTATATACACTGAGTGTACAAAACATTAAAAACGCCTCCTCTTTCCATGACATAGACTGACCAGGTGAAAGCTATGATCCCTTATTGATGTCACTTGTTAAATCCACTTCAATCAGTGTAAATAAGGCTTTTTAAGCCTTGAGACAATTGAGACATGGAGTGTGTATGTGTGCCATTCAGAGGGTGAATGGGGAAGACAAAAGATTTAAGTGTCTTTATACAGTAAGGCAATAATATATATATATATATATATATATATATACAGTGCATTCGGAAAGTATTCAGACCCCTTGACTTTTTCCACATTTTGTTACGTTACAGCCTTATTCTAAAATGGATTAAAAAAAAAAAATCTCTTCAATCTACACACAATACCCCATAATGACAAAGCGGAAATGTTATTTTTTTGAATGCAAATGTATTAAAAATAAAAAACAGAAATACCTAATTTACATAAGAATTCAGACCCTTTGCTATGAGACTCGAAATTGAGCTCAGGTGCATTCTGTTTCCATTGATAATCCTTGAGATGCTTCTACAACTTCATTGGAGCCCACCTATGGTAAATTCAATTGATTGGACATGATATGGAAAGGCACACACCTGTCTATATAAGGTCACACAGTTGACAGTGCATGTCAGAGCAAAAACCAAGCCATGAGGTCGAAGGAATTGTCCGTAGAGCTCCGAGGCACAGATCCGGGGAAGGGTACTAAAACATTTCTGCAGCATTCACGGTCCCCAAAAACACAGTGGCATCCATCATTCTTAAATGGATGAAGTTTGGAACCACCAAGACTCTTCCAAGAGCTGGCCACCCGGCCAAAGTGAGCAATCGGGGGAGAAGGGCCTTGGTCAGGGAGGTGACCAAGAACCCGATGGTCACTCTGACAGAGCTCCAGAGATCCTCTGTGGAGATGGGAGAACCTTCCAGAAAGACAACCATCTCTGCAGCACTCTACCAATCAGGCCTTTATGGTAGAGTGGCCAGACGGAAGCCACTCCTCAGTAAAAGACACATGACAGCTTTGACTTTGCCAACAGGCACCTAAAGGACTCTCAGACCATGAGAAACAAGATTCTCTGGTCTGATGAAACCAAGATTGAACTCTTTGGCCTGAATGCCAAGCGTCATGTCTGGAGGAAACCGGGCACCATCCCTACAGTGAAGTATGGTGGTGGCAGCATCATGCTGTAGGGATGTTTTTCAGTGGCAGGGACTGGGAGACTAGTCAGGATCGAGGGAAAGATGAACAGAGAAAAGTACAGAGAGATCCTTGATGAAAACCTGCTCCAGAGTGCTCACGACCTCAGACTGGGGCAAAGGTTCACCCTCCAATAGGACAACGACCCTAAGCACACAGCCAAGACAACACAGGAGTGGCTTCGGGACAAGTCTTTGAATGTCCTTGAGTGGCCCAGCCAGAGCCCGGACTTGAACCCAATCTAACATCTCTGGAGAGACCTGAAAATAGCTGTGCAGCGACGCTCCCCATCCAACCTGACAGAGCTTCAGAGGATCTGCAGAGAAGAATGGGAGAA